CCTAGGGGTCACACTCTAGCTTTAAAAATCAGTCAAGTCTAGTACTAATTTGCTTTTAAAGTGTATTTCCTTCTTAAAAACTGATCTGGAGACTGTGATTGTTAAGTCAGTGGACTGTTCCAGGTTGGGGTTTTTTGCTGCTGTTGTTGTTTTTATTTTTGCTCTTTTTTTAGGCTATTTTTTTTTTTTTTTTTTTTTTTAGGTTTTATAGTAAGTATAATGGATGGAGAAATTACAGAGTGCACCTGATATGTACACTCTGAAGGTGTGGAACAGAAACATTACTGTCTTTTTAATAATTCCATTTTAAATACATGTGAGAGAGAGGGAAGAAATGAAAGAAGGGAAATACTGGATAGGGAATTTCAGTCTATAAATTGAAACTAAAGCAGTGAAGCCCTCTGTGCCATGTGTAATTCTACCTTTTAACAGTTTCATTTAATGTCTTAATAGTCACCTGAACTTTCTAGAACAGCCTACAAATTATTTGATGCTCCAAGCCAGTGAGCTGCTGCAGCCCTTCTGAGGTGAAGTGAAACAGTGAAATACTGAAGGCAGCTCTCTGGAGAGCTGACACACCTGAATCCTGCCCTGGGATTTGAGTCTGCCTGGATTTTTCACTTGAGATTTTCGGTGCAGCCTCTGAGGAAAAGAAACTGGTGCTCATTTGTGAAGGCACTACTAATGGCCTAGCAGCTGTTGAACGCTGCCCTTCAAAGTGTCACTTTTGACACTGTAATTTGGGATTTGCATTTCAAACGAGGGGAATTTTGCCTATCAGGATGCACAGTGAACGCATCTTGCAGGAATTTAAACCACTCTGTGTTCTGATGGCAGCCAGGCACACCTGAGTCACCTCTGCTCTCAAAGGGTACTGATAAAAAAACATCCCAGGGGAAGGAAGTGTAACATGGATTTTTCTCTCTTTACACGGATATGGGATATCTCAGAGATGCTCTCCTGAAATCCAGCCTGGCCCCAATTACCCAGATTCCACTGTCCCCACCTGGCTGTGCGCTGTGCCCCTTCAGAGGGGTGGCATTTGGCGGGGCAGTGGGTATTTTTCTGTAAACGACAAGGTTTCAGGGTTGTTTTACAGCCTGCAGTGCCCTACGTGCGCTCCTGCTGGTAGCTCTGCCCTCCGCCGGGAAGGAAATGCCACCTGACCACAAAGACACGCTGCGTGCAGATTAGCGATTGTTTCTTGGGGCAGGTCGCTTGGCTTCGTGTCAGCCTTTACAAAAGACACCCCGATGGTTCGTTTCGTTTGTAAATTATGCCAGCAGTTAATGCTTGTCAAGCACCAGGGCTAGATTGTATCAGGAAAAGAACGTGGAGTTTTAAATTGCCTGGTTTGAAGCCATTCTCTTTCAAGGCAGTGACATTTTTTTTTTTTTTTCTGTATGTAGCAATGAATGTAGTTTTTATAAAGGTTTGGGGTTTTTCCTTTCAGTTTTTTCTAAGATTTCTCTTGTTATATTAAAGTGGAGAAGTCCTGGGCTTTTGGGAGGTGGGAGCAGGGTTGTTACACTTTTCCCCCAAAAAATCTGAGAGGAAGCCATTAAGGCATGAATCAAAATTATAATAACGAAGCAAAGAGAACAAAGCTGGAAAAGCTTTCTGCAAAGTCCAAGATGTTGGAGTTTGCTCAGACTATCAGCATTCCAAACTTCCCAAACCTCCTTCATCCTCTTTTCTGGCCGGGACCCTTCAAGACTCAGAATTTACCCTTTTTTTCTCTGCCCAAGTGTGCCCCTTTTTCATCCTTTCCTTTCTCCTCCCTTTCCGTGTGTGCCCAGGTGCTCCGAGGGTCTCATTGCTGGGCAGGCTGGCACAGCACCCCTGGATCCCTGGCAGCTGTGCCCACACTTCCATACCTCTAGGGGAATTTCTACTGTGTGATCTCTAGGTGGAGCCTCCTACCACCCAGTTCCGTGTGAAAATTATTCATATGTGAGATTTTTTCATATTAAATTATTCATGTATGAGATATATATGAGATATTTTACCTCTGAGACTCTGGAATGGTTTTTTTCAGGTTTTTTTTTTTTTTGGCTTTTCTGGTGGTTAATGTCTGCTGGCTTGGGGAACTGTTCTGTGACAGGTGGAGGAGAAATAATAATTGCAGCCCATCTCAGGTCTAAGGCACTTCTGGACATATCAGATGGACAATTAACAAATCTGTTTGTCAGTGAGCTAATTTATTAACCTCCCCAAAGGCTTAGTTCGGTTATTCTGGAAAGCAAGACGTTTCTATTCAGATTTTATGTACTTACATGACAACTATAAAATCAGCATCATAAAATATTATATTTTTAATACTCAATAGAAGATTTACATTCTTACCAAAAAGAGTCTGGAGCTGATAGTGCTGGCTGACGTGTTAAAAAAACAACCGTACACCTTTGTTCTCTACAACCACTATCAAAGGTGAAGATAAAAAGAGACACAACCATCCATGGAGAGAGGATGACAGAACCTGGAGCTTTCCCACTGCGGGTAGTTTTTTCCTGCCTGTAGAGATAAGGCTCCAGTGGCTCCGGGCAGTAAGTCATCTGACCGAACCCGTTTCCTAGTTGTTTAATTGTTTTTTTTTTAAATGGGTTTGGGGTTTGTTTTGTTTGGTGGGGGTTGGTTGTTTGTTTCTTTCTTTCTTGCTTAAAGCTCATCACCTTTCCTTAAAGACTTATCTTTATTTAAAAAGGGGCAAAGCCCAAACCAAACAAAACAAAAACAAAAACAAAAAAAAACAAAAAAAAAAAAAAAAAAAAAAAAAACCAAAAAAAAAAAACCCACAACCCAAGCTTGTAAAACCACAAAGCCTATAAAAAGTAGTCGATAAGCAGTGGAAACTGCTTAGAAACATTATGGATATATATATCTCCCCCATATATACCGGGGGGTATATGTATGTATAAGGATACACAAACATTTAAAATATTTTTAACTTGTAAATATTTTCGACCCAAGCTTATAAAACCACAAAGCCTATTAAAAGTAGTCGATAAGCAGTGGATAATTAATTACTTAGAAACATTATGGACATATATATATCCCCCATATATACCAGGGGGTATATGTATGTGTACGGATATACAAACATTTAAAATATTTTTAACTTGTAAATATTTTCGAGCTTTTTCTTGGACTTGTTAGTACAAATTATTTTAATATTAAAAAATTTTTCTGTAAATTGTTCAATTTTTCTGCTTGGGTGACTTCTGAAATCGGGTGATTCTCCCGAAATCTCTTTTGCAGAGCACAGAAGTCATTGGAAAACTGCAGATATAAAGAGTTCCGCTTCTGAAATCGGGTGATTCTCCTGAAAACTCTTGCAGAGCACAGAAGTCATTGGAAAACTGCAGATATAAAGAGTTCACGCTGGAACTTTAACTGGGAACATTGGAATATACTTGGTTTCCAAGCTTCAAGTACTAACCAACACTTTAATAAGTTTTGCAAACAGTTTGGTAAGTTTTTATGGTGTTCCCTGGAACAATTGGAATTCTGGTGCTCGGGACGCTCAAATGGCTCGTTGTTAAACTTTTCCTGGGAGAAAATATTTTGAATTATTTTGTATTATTGTAGTTGCTGACAAGTTCAACTCCTTGGTCGCAGCTCATCTAACAGTTAACAGCATTTCCTCTTGCCTGATGAGTTGTAAATTTCATTAGCTGCTTGGTTATCGGCGCCTGATAAAGGTACACTGAAATAATTATAGATTGGGAGTCAGTTCAAAAGTTTAATCGGCTTGTAATTAAAAAAAAAAAAAAAAAAAAAAAAAAAAAAGGCTTTGCTTAGTTTGCAGCTCTGTTAAAGCGTTCCCTCTCAGCTTTGGCAGGGATGCCCTGTCCCTCGGAGGGCACCTTGGATGTGCCCGAAGAGCAGATGGCAGAGGCCGCTGTCCCTGGGCTCTGGCCGGTGCCCAGCTGCCGGATAAATGGGATCAGCCTGCCCGAGATGGTGGAAAACTCCTTTTTCCTTTTTTTTCCCCCCCTATTATTATTCCGGTTGATTAACCTTCTGCTAATTGCTGGTATCCACCTCGCCCTGCGGCCTGAGCGTGCCTGGGGAAGCGCGGGGCCGAGCAGAAGGCTCGGGAGCATCCTTCCTCCCATCCCCCGGCCAGCGCCTCCCGAGCCGGGGATCTCTCGGGAATACCGGCCATTCCCGGCGGGGAGTTGATATAAATTGCCCGATATTTGCGTATATTTACATAGAATGGGTGTATCCCTTCACTCCTTCCACCACGGCACCGGCCCCGCGCTCCACCCATCCCCTTATCAGCTGGAAGCTTTATCGGCGCTTCCTTTGGGTTGCTTTCCCGTAATTCCAGAGCTGGGGAAGCGTTCACATCCCCCTCCTCCTGTTCGCAGGAGCGCCTCATCAGCCTTTCCCCCTGTCTTAATCGCCGGTCGCGATTTCGGTGCTTTCACCGCCGAGTTTCTCGGCGGACCTGTGGCGGGGGTGGGTATGGCTGTCCCGGGGGGTGTCGCTATCCTGTGGGGGTGTCACTGTCCCGGGAGATGTCACTGTCCCGGGGGGTGTCACTGTCCTGTGGGGGTGTCACTGTCCCGGGGGGTGTCGCTATCCCGGGGGGTGTCGCTATCCCGAGGGGCTGTCGCTATCCCGAGGGGCTGTCGCTATCCCGGGGGGGTGTCGCTATCCCGGGTGGTGTCGCTATCCCGAGAGGCTGTCGCTATCCCGGGGGGGTGTCGCTATCCCGAGGGGCTGTCGCTATCCCGAGGGGCTGTCGCTGTCCCGGGGGCTGTCGCTATCCCGAGAGGCTGTCTCTATCCCGAGGGGCTGTCGCTGTCCCGAAGGGGTGTCGCTATCCCGAGGGGCTGTCGCTATCCCGAGGGGCTGCCGCTGTCCCGGGGGCTGTCGCCGTGCCGGGGGGGCGGTGTGGGGGTGTCCCAGCCCGGGGGGGCCGTGCCCGCGGTCCCGCCCCGCCCCGCCGCCTCTGCCTTAAAGCGGCCGCCCGGCCCCGGCGCGCTCACCGCGCTCGCCGCTCTCGCCGCCGCGATGCCGCTGCGGGGCTGGACGCTGCTGCTGGCGGCCCTGCTGCCCTCCGCGCTGCCCTCGCTGCTGGCCGCTCCGCCGGCCGCCTGCCCCGAGCGCTGCGATCGGTCGCGCTGCCCGGCGCTGCCCGCGGCGTGTCCCGGCGGGCCGGTGCTGGACGCCTGCGGCTGCTGCCGCGTGTGCGGCGCGGAGGAGGGCGAGGCGTGCGGGGGCGCGGGGCCGCCCTGCGGAGAGGGGCTGCAGTGCGTGCTGCCGCCCGGAGCCGTCCCCGCCTCGGCCACCGTGCGCAAGCGGGCGGCCGCGGGGCGCTGCCAGTGCACCAGCAGCGAGCCCGTGTGCGGCAGCGATGCGGTCACCTACGCCAGCCACTGCCAGCTGCGGGCCGCCAGCCGCCGCGCAGAGCGCCTCCGGCAGCCGCCCGTCATCGCCATCCAGCGCGGAGCCTGCGGGCAGGGTGAGGATGCGCGGGGGGGATGGCCCGGGGTGCGGCGGGAAGCGCGGAGGTTCGGCCCCAGCATCCTCATGCCGGGTCGGGATGCGGTTCCCCGGGAGGAGCCGGGAGACGGGGCTCGCCGCGGCTCAAGCCGGCCGCTCCTCCGGCTCGGCGAGAAACCGGAGCAGGAATGAGGTTTGGCAGCGGCAGGGGGGGTGAAAAACCCCGTACCCGATTTAAACTTGTCTCCCACCCCCACCCGAGGGGTGATGCCCGGCTCGAAACTGGGGGAAACTGGTGCAAAGCCTCAGAAGCGGGTGCGGCTGCGGGGCCGGGGCCGGCGATGCGGCTCCAGCAAAGTTTGGAGAAAGAACTCGAGCGCGCTCCCGTCCCGGCGCTTTGTCACAGCGAAATGCCCCGGGGAATAAAGCCAGGAATGCAGGAGCCCTTCAGATGTGATGGAGCAAAGGGGTGCGCAGAGCAGGCTGCTGCCTGCCTTGGCCCGGCTTAGCGGATGCGCTCTGATTAATAAAAGACTTGCTGGAAAGGGAGAAGCCTGCTAACAGCGTGTTAAGCTCAGCTTAGAGCTTTGTGTTTGTTTTTGTTGAGGTTTTTTGAGGATGGAGATGGACGCCGATAAGTAACAACGCGTGGCGTTTCTCCTTCTGCATTCTTTAGCTGTCAGCGTAGTCGGGCCGAATGTAATGCGAGTACTCAGAGTGCAGGACGGATGCAAATCGTCTGTAAACGGTGTGAAGGGGCATTGCCGGGCTACCAAACGGCGGCTGAGCAGCCCGGAGGAGCGTTTGGTGTGGCAGGAGCGGTGGGTGCAGGAGGTGACACAGAGAGGAGCAAAGCCGTGCTGGGATAAGCAGGGGATGATCGTCACAAGATGCAGCCCCTAATACGGGCTGGATTAAACCCCGTAAGCCGAGGCTCTGTGTCCCTTCCAAGCCGTTCTGCACCATTAGGGGGTAACGTGTAAAAATTAGCATGAATTAAGGCTTTATTTCTGGAGCGGTAGTCACTTTTTAGTAAGTCGGCGCTGTTTTAGTGAGGATTAATTATTTTGGTCTAAGTTGTGTCATTTCTGGACTTCCTTTATTTTAAAACACATCTTTTTCTACACTTGGCCATCATCTCCCCAGCAGAAAAACATTCTGATGTATAGTGGCTGTGTGTTCAGCCTGCAGATCCAGCTCACAGCTATGGTGTGAACACAATCAATTTTTTGTAGCCCTGGTTGTCCCCTCGGTGTCAGAGCTGTGTTGTGCTCCATGGCACGTTGCTGCCATTTGCTGTCACTGGAGACAATCAAACTTTTCACCCCACAGCTTCCTGATGCCCAGTGTAAGACAATGCCTTGTGGTTTTTATTCTCGATTCATGAAACCAATATTGTTTTCTCAGCCTTTTCTGCTGAACGTTTTGCAGAATTGGGGCTGTGTTTGAGCTGGGGGCAATACGTGCCTCTGCTGGGGGGTACAGAAAATGCGCGGGCTGCACAGAGTCCCTGTCTGGGAGAGCTCTGCTGTTGTAGATCCATCAGGAGCAATTCCAGACAATCATTTTGCCCTGTTACACCTCTGGAACAAAAAGAAAGTGCTGGAGAAGCCAACCAGTAGCACATGTTTATTTCTGGATGAGAGCAAACATTGCTACCAGCAAAGCTTTTTTTTCATATGTAGAGAACCTGAAATAAAAAGGGATGGAGCGTAGGCTGTAAAGTGCTTGAATCGATGTTTTGAAAAAGCATTGCCTAATATTTGGCCCCTTAAAGTAATTAATTTTTAATTTTATTTTGAGTTCTTCATCAGGAGTGCTTTTTCTACCTAAAGACTGAGTTATATCTAGCCATTTTTTTCATAGTAACACACCCACATTAATAATTTGGTCGATACAACGCAACAGCCTTGGGAAACAAAGGAATGGGAACATAGAGAAAGGGTTTGGAAAGCACTTTTTGTTGTTTTTAAACTTCACACTATTTCAGTAGCTGGTCAAGTACAATGGTGTGTATATTTCTTAAAAAATACAGCAAAACTTTCTGTCATTTTCAAATTTCATTTCCTACAGTTCACTCCCAGTGCTGGTTTTTGTCCGTCAGTGATTCCAGGGAATCTCTTCAAATACCAGCAGTGTTTCAGAGGATGCAGTAGAGGCAGGAGCAGGTTGCTGTGGGTCTGTGTGCAGAAGGGGGATGATTCCCTGTGCAAAATGAGCCTTGAAAGACCCCAGCCCCTCCCAGCAGTGTCCAGCTGTGCTGTGGCAGCAGGAGCAGTGCCACCCCTCCTGCTGTCCCCCAGCCCGGGCAGGGCTCCTGAGCTGCAGCTGCCACTACAGAAATCCCTTTCCATCAGAGCTGCCAGAGGGTGCTCAGGCCTGCAGAGCCCGTGCTGCTGCAGCTCTGTGTGTGCTGACACAAAATCCAGAGGCACCGAGAGAGGTGAATGTCCCCTGGGCAGGAGCTGTGGCTGTGTGGGAGCATCCCACACCCAGGAGCGAGGTCGCTGCCACGAGACCTCGGTGTTCAGTGGTGAGGTTCAGCCTCCTGGGAGGATGTTTTCTTTTTCTTCTGCAAATATGTTTTTGGTGGCCTTAAATCCCTCCTGCTGACCAAGGGAGGAGGGCTCAGCACACGACTTAAACCAGGCTTTATTCCCTTCCTCATTTTTCCCACAAGTGTTGGCAGGCGTTTTGGGACACTGTGCCCTTGTCTCCACGTCGTGCTCCTCACACTGTAAAATGTAAACTAACCTGGATTTGTCCTTTCCTCATCAGCCCAAGGAAGGAGAGCATTCCTTGTGGTTGCTCTCCATTTCTGACTATTTTTCTGCCCGGTTTTGAGCTGGTTTTCTATGTTTTTGTATTTTTATTAGGTTTCCCATGTCTAATGTGGCATCTCAGTGAGCTCAGCAGTCCTCAGCTTGCTGGCATCTGCCACAGGTGGCTCTCACTACGGTCCCAGGCATGCTCACACCATGATGTCACATCTGGGGTTTGATGGGAGCTCTTATGGCTTGGATTGAGCAGGATATTACAGCTGGACTGCCTGGGGAGAAGGCAGAGGTGAGGGGTTTTCAGTCTAGAAAGCTGTGTGTCACTGAGATACAGGCTTTGCTACTCCATCACCTGATTTCACACTTCTACAGACAGCAAGGTGGAAGCAAAAGAAAATCAGTTTCTTGCAAAGTGGTTGGCTTTGTGTTTTGAAATGCACCAGGCACAACTGCATCCAAGTGTTTCAGTGTCATTACCTGGCAGGAGAAAAGGACCTCTGTGGTCAATAACCCATTTGTCATTAACTGAGTCCTTCCAGAGCAGCCTGAGAGTGAGGATGGGCAGCAGAGGGACCTGCCTGCATTCCTGTGCCCGGCAGCGTGATGGGCTGGCAGTGCTGAGCCTGGCAGGGAGGAACAACCAGGGCAGGGAGAGAAACTCAGCTGGGAAATCTGCTGTGAAGGTTGGGAACTCGGCCAGAGATTTATCAAGAGGGAAGTTGATACTGTTGTTATGAACAAGGCTCTCAGCTGCTTCCCCGAAGATAATAACAGGCACACGGTGGTGGTTTTATTATTGTTATTTGTGTGCTGAAGAAGTGTGGGGAGACTTTGGCAGGTTACTTGGCACGTGCCAAGTCTATTAAAAACGACCCAGGAGCAGCAGGTTTTTAGGGTCTGAGTGCACAAATGAGCATTCCAGTGCTGCTAAATGTCATCTCCTCCCTCAGCTGCTGTTTGGGTGGTCTGAAGATCATTCTTTTCCAACTTTTCCTCAAGTCTATTTTGCAGCAGCAGGAGAAGGGAGGGAGGGAATGAAGAGGCAGCTGAAGGCAATGGAAATAAATAGCAACATCTTTCCAGAAGAGAACCAATTCCCAAGTGTGGGATTAAAAAGCTTTTCCAAAGCCAAGTATTCAGCTCGGAGAGGAGGCAACTGTAAGAAGTGGTTTGTCAGAAGCAGCTCACCTTTCCTCCTCTCCACATCTAGATTTCCTTCCCGAGGAGCAGGCAGTAATTTTGCAGTCTCCAAACTTCAAACAGTCAAGTCTGTAAATACAGATTTGGAACCAGGAAAGGTTCAATCCTTTCATCTTCTGGGCTTTGAAATTTAAAGGTACCTGTGGACTGGGCAGGAATACTTGAGGCCATGAGTAAGCAGCAGGAGTGTTGTTAGGATGTGAGGGAGGCAGCAGATCCTGAGCAGCTCTCGGGCTCTGCCGTCCAAGAAATAGGAGAAGCTGGAAAATATTTTTCAAATGTGAATTTACGTGTGCTTGGAGTGAAAGAAAGCAACGTCAGAAATAGAAACTGGGGTACTGTGGAACTTGTATTGTAAATACAGCCATTCCTCACTGCCAGGAGCTGCTGGGGCCTCTAGGATCCCTGGCTGGACTTGGCACTGAGTCCCACTGCCTTTGTCACCGGGCCCAAGTGAATACCTGACATTATTTTGGAGTCTGTGTTCAGGATGTAAAATAAAAGACTTTATTTTGCCTTCTGAATTCAGGTCATTGTGATTCCCAAATTGGTTGTCCTGCTTCAAAGAGAAGAATATAACTGAAAAATAAGCCTCCACTCCCTTATAGCAAAGGGCTATAAAAGAATTGATCTTTTACTAATGGATGTTGACCTTATATCTGTAGGTAACAGGAGAGTTATGATATCTTAAGCTTGTGAGACAGGACACAGGGAGTAGTTATTTTAAAGTTTAATGTTTTGCCACCACATTTTAGCAACTGGAGGTGAATTATGCAGAGCAGCTCTTGAATTTCTGGGTTAATATCAGGCATCCTGGTGCACTGATAAGGGGAAGCACAAGGTTGGAGGTCAGCTGTGTTATGCAATTTGCTACAAGTCCTCTGCCAGGAGCTTGTTTCTGGAGGAAAAAAAGTGAAAAAACAAAGCAAATATGTGTTTCATGTGTGAGCAGATGCATTTTCCTCTGCCTTTCCTGCAGGCTGGCACCAGGCTGGTACCTGGCCCTGTCACTGCAAGCAGTGCTATTAAAACTCTGTGGTAT